ACTCCAATTGTGCTTTGGCCTTCCTGACTTTACCCCTGCATGCCTGAGCAATGCTCTTATATTCTTCCCTAATTATTTTTCCAAGTTTCCACTCCTTATAAGCTTCCTGGCATCTTTGGGTTGTTTTGCTCTGCGCTGTAGATATATGCACCTGAATTAGTTAGCTTACAGCTAGCTTGCCCCTTTCTGCACCGGAATTAGTTAGCTTAAAGTTAGCTTGCATATGTCTGCACAAGCTGCCATCATACCTTTAACCACAGTGTTGACTTTAGTTGTGATAGTCCCTCCACCGAAAGCATATTTTATTTTTAAACAGGAGAAATACTGTGTTTCCCAGAAATGTTATATTCTGGATCTATTTTACATTTCAGTTCACACCTTAAAACCTTTCCTTCTGAAAAAAAAAAAGTCCTGATGAAGTTGTTATGCAAGAACTACCTGTAAGGAGACTGGTTTGCAAACTCAAGTTCATTGGGTCTCTGTTATTTTCTTAGTTACTTCATAAACAAAGACAGGAAATTATTTCTGGATCTAGCATCTAAAATGAATTGGAATGTCCTTCAACTTTATTCATGCAAACAAATCCTTCATATTTTAGGACTTTGAATATAGCAGCATGAAGGAAATCCGGTCTGGTTCTGCTCCACAGCTTTGCTTTGATATCAGACATGACAAGGTGATCTTTCAAAACTGTACAGAAGCAGCAGAAAACAGTCAACAGCACTGGGATGTCCAGGAGGTGGGTAGTGATTTTTTTAATGCATCTCAGGTAGCTGAAAACAGTCTAAAAATTGTGGAGGTGGGGAAGAGAGGAGAAAAGAAGAGAAGGGGATAGAAGGGGGTACCTGAAATTTTCAGTTTTCACTGAATCCCTACTTGGAACCAAGATATTCTGATGATATTTGTCCCATTTAAAATATGCAGTACAAAAGTAGTTAAGAGTGAGCATGTGTGCATGAGATGTTTAATTCAGAGTAAACTAATTAGCTCTGCAGTAAATATCTTGGTGTCTACATGTGCAAGGCTATTAAGCTGGAGCAATCTAATACACTCTGCATCAGGGTAGTACTTATAAATACAAGTAGTATCCTGCTGTGGAGTTGGGTTTTTTTACTCTGCAGCCCTGCACATGTAAATGCTGACATGGCACACTGGGGAATGAGGGTGCTTCAGTATGGGGACTGCCTGCCGGCTAGCCCTTCACTGGAGCACCCTCATGTCCTAGCCAATCCCTCCATAGCATGTTGAGCCAAGGGGGAGCTGCTCTGGGCTGGCAGACTGATGCCCAGGGCCTCCTGCCAGGTGAGGCTGCTCTGACCTGGCTCAGTATGCTGTGGTCCCAGGTGCACATTCAAATGGCATGCCTGTGAGCAATAAACTCCAGAGTTTATTGCTTGACACTAATTGCACATGTAGATGCACCCAGTAAGGAGCAAAGCGAGCACACTCTTAATCCACATGCCCCAGATTTTTGCAGTATAAGCCCAAGCCGTTTCATTTACAGAGCATTCTGGAATACATCAATTAATGGTTACGAAAGTAACTTTTGTAATTCTTCAGTTACAAAGGACCTTTGCAGCAGAGAAAAGTCTGGTTCTGCTTTGCAGGTTGGGAGAGACTCCAGAGGGCCAGATTCTGGGAGCAGATGCAGAAAGTGTGAAGCCCTCTGCTCTTTGGGAAATCAAGTGTGTTTTAAAATTCACCCCATCTTGCAAGATAGATGTCTTTCTTATTATAGAAACTCAGTATGATTCAGTGGAATTCTTCCTGCAGGACAGGGGAAGTTTAAGGCTCCTGGACAGTACAGGAAATGTCTAGTTACTCCATCATCACTTCAGTCATAGGAGCTGCATCTACATGAGTGAGCACATGCTTGTGGTATCTCAAAGCAGTTTGAGATGCTGCAAGAGGCACGCCATGAGACCCCAGCTGCACCTGGAAAGCTCAGGCTGGGGTTGCCAGGGAGACCAGCATGAGCTGTGCTGGCAGCGCCTGTGGCAGAGCAGGGAGCTCTTGGGATGGGGGCAGCTTGCTCCAGAGCGAAGACAGAGCTGTGATCTGTAACCTGCATGTGCTGGGCAGGGGATTTCAGCTCTGCCTCAACTCCAGACCAGACTGTCACTGCTGCAAGAAGCCAGGGCAGAGCTGCGATCCCCTGCTTGCATGCCCCTGCCCAGAGCGTGCAGGTTACAGATTGTGGCTCTGCCCTGGCTCCAAAGCAAGCTGCCCACATCCCAAGTTCCCAGTGGCTCCAGAAGAACCCCCTGCATTGCTCTGCCAGCAGGGCTCAGGCTGGTCTCCATGGCAACCCCAGCCTGAGTTTTCTTTGCAGGTGCAGCTGGAGTCTCCATGGTGACTGGCCCAAGCCATGAGGGCAGGGGCTGCTGGGAAATGGAGTCTGGCTGTTGACCAGATCAGCCATTTTGCCCACCCTTGCTCTACCACCTGGCCAAAGTGTCTCTATGCCTTCTGAATGGCCCTGCTACTCCAGCACACTGTCTCAGAGTGCTGGAGGAAACAGAAGCAGGGCAAGGCTGGCAGTAGTCAGTTGGACCCGGGCTCTGCCCTGGTAAGCAGGGATGTGGCAGTGGGGGGAACTTTGTGGGGCGGGGGGGACTGTGAGGGAGGGGTAGGTCCCCCGCCTGCCCCCACCACAGCATAGCCCCCTGCCACCTGCAGCAGCAGCCAGCCCTCAGCACGCTCATGGCCCACTGCAGACAGAAGCCCTGGTGGCACATGGGGCAGCTTGAGACCCGGGAGCTACAAGTGGTGCACAGAGCCAACCCAGTCTGCTGGCACGCACTTTTGATGTGGAGGCAGGAGCTGGCCCAGCCCAATGGTGTGTGGCTCCTGCATGCAGTGCTGGGAGCCTTGCGGGGTGGCAGGAGTTGGCCCAATCCTACCCAAAGGTGTATGCCAACAGACCAGGCTGGCTCCGTGCACCACACGTAGTCCTCGGGTCTCAGGCGGCACCGCGCGCTGCCGGGGGCCTCTGCCTGCAGTGGCCAATGAATGACATGAGGGCCGGCTACTGCTGCTGCAGGGCGGGGCTGTGCATCGTGGGGGGATGGTGGGGAGGAGACCCACACCTCCACAGTTCCCTTACGAGTACCCCCTACACTCCATCCGCAAACCCCATCTACAAACCCTCCCACACCCCCTCCACAACTCCCCCCCAAAATCCCCCTGCTCCCCAGACACTCCAGGTGCTTTAGAGTAGCTTTCAGAGCCACTCTAATTAAATTGCTCCTTCTTCCCCCTCCCATACCATATGTATAAAGGCCCCTAGAGTTCTTATTGATCTCAGGAGGAATTGTGGGTCCCTATTACCTCTAAGGACCAATCCTAGAGCTTTTAAAGTAATCAGTGTTTTTTTTTTAACTCACCATTTTTGAAATTCCCTTTTTTTCTTTCCATTCTTTCTTTTTTTTCCCCCCCCTCATGTAGAGTGGAATGATCATCCACGTCCTGTCTGGTAAATGCATGGAAGCAGTACAGAGTGAACCTGAAGCAAATTTGTTCTTACGTCCATGTAACAAGAGCGCAAATCAGCTGTGGCAATTTGAATGCTCACGTGTGCTAGATGAGCGATGACTGATAGACCTTTATGAAGACTGCCCAAACCTCACTGTCACTTTCATTTGGGATTTCAGACGCATGCACTGCTGCATGAAAAAAAAAAAAAAGGTTTCACGGGTCTGCTACAGTCTTCAGAGGAAGACAAGAATACTTTCCTTAGAAAGTCTTGCTAAAATAAATGCAACAGGCACCTTGTTTATCCAGCCCCAACTATAGTTGCCTTTTATTCTCTTGAACAAGAAAAAAAAAAAAAGTACTCTGAGCATCTATAGAGACTCTTCAGCTATCCCATGGCTGAAGGAAGAAGTCTGCCTTTTCAAGGAAACTTGGAAAATTAACTGCTAGGGAATATGTCTTTAACAAAGTCTGTAACTTCTGAGACTACAGGAAGATTAATGTTTGGGAAACTTTTGACATGCTCTTAGAGGAAGTCAGCCTTGTTAGGATGAGAACTTAGCAAAGCTGTAACATGCACTTGACTCATAAAACAAAGTAGGTTTGTATGTATCTAAGCAGTACACGGTGTAAACCATAATTAATATATTCTTTTTAATATATATTTGGTCACTGAGGTTGCACAGTACGTAAACTGGCATTTATTTGGCCCACTCCCGCTTTCATTAAAAATTCTTATGGACTTAAATGGAAATAGTCTAAAGCCTTCTATCTTTGATCCATTGTCTCCTCCTATAACCCAGTCTCAAAAGAAATGGATACATTTACAATTTCCTGCTTCAGTTTTCTTGAAGTTTTAAAAAAACTCTTTGACAATTAATGTACTACAGAAAAGCATCACTTCAGTTGTAGAAGTCCTAGCTGAAAGCACAACATGAAAGTAAATAGTAGGCCTTTATAGCTACATAAGCAGGACATATAGACTTTTCCTTCCTTTCCGTCCCCATGTGCTGGCTATTTGATAGAGTAAGGATGTTGATGTTGTTGATTTTAAAAGGGAAACCCTCCATCCCCTTGCTTGCCTTGGGTCTCCCAGTTGACTGTTATAAGCAAGTCATACTTATAATTTCCTTATCAAAGTTCTCTTGCTGGGAGCCTGATCCTGTATTCCCTCTGACTTGTCTGCTACTGGAGTTAAGGGAAATTGTTTTTATAAGCAATATAAATGAGCCCTTTTGTCCATTTGGAGCAATATTTTGTTTGGAATCTTAAATTAGGAGAGAAGTCAAATAGTGCAAATATCTTTGAATCCTTCCAAAACTGGAGGGGTAAACTTGGCAGGAAGGAGAAGTAATTGTGGGATGGAGTCTTGGGTAACCGTTTGACTTTCCCTCATATTGGTGCCATAGCAGAATTCCAATAAAAATCAATCCTACCCTTCATATCTTCATTGAGGAAGCTAAGGAAACCTAGTTTGTTGTTGATTCTTTTTAAGAGGCAGACAGAAAAATTACTTTTACTGGTACTTAGAGAAGATTGACTTTTCAGTATAGCTTTGACCCGAACTGAAAGGAACAGAAGGTTCTGTTCAGAAAATACCAGGTATTATACTTTAGAAGATCCTAGATACAAGATTTAACAAGGTAAAATTAGTCACAACAGAAGAAGCGAACATCATTAAGTGCTGTGTCATCCACAAAAGCCCCCTGGTATGATTCTAGTTTGGTTTGAATGCCACAGATTCCACCTCTTGTACAGGCATTACTCCATCCCCCATAATCACCAAACGTACTACCAACTCCTTCTATGATCGCACCACTGGTGCAGCGAAATTTGATACCATTTGCTGCTGTATCATCTACAATTCCTTGTGGTGTTTCAACTTTCAGTTGAAAAGATACGAGGAACCCTTTTGGACACCAAATGATTGTTGACCATTGTCCAAACCTATGGTGAGAAAAGAAAATTGCAATTTAAAAAAATTAAATGAATTTTCCATTTTAATTTTCAGAATTGTCAGTAATGTCATTCAATTGTTATTTTAGTTCAGTATAATTAATGTTTTAAAGTGTAAAGATGCCAGATTTTTTTAAATGATATATTATTTATTATATGTTGAATATCAGTTCTTCTGAGTGTACTGAGATGCCATTTCCTCAACACTTGTCTTATACTCTAAATAAACTGACAACACAATTATGACAAGAGATCACCAGATAAAAATATTCCCCTACGTCTTTGGGATAAATCTATTTGAATGGAGAAAAAAAATAGAAAAACTGAAAAGATTATGGGCATTCTGTTTGCAGCTTGACATGTGTCAAACTTGAGGAAACCTGAGGAAATAGGACTCCCTGTGGATATGTGTGCAACAGAAGAAGGTATATAAATAAATCCACTTATATAAGTAAGACTAGAATATTGCTTCTAATACCAATTAAAAATAAAGGAGAGTCACCTCTTTGTTGCCTGTCATAAAAGTAATTATGTAGTTGGAAAAACTTACCCACATTTCAAAATTTGGATTTATGTTCTACTCACACTTCAAAATTTGGTTATTCATAAGGCTACAAGACGACCCAGAGTTGTCATAATTAATGCCAAGAAAGATTTTGGATATGTGCTCCAGGGCTGGAGCAGATCTCTAACTACTAGGGAATAAACAGGAGCAGATGACATGTCATCATTTTTTAACTGTGGGGTTCTTGCACCTTTTTCTGAAGCACCTGGGTTTAGCCATTGCCATGGACAGGATACTGGACTAGTCTGTCCTCAGATATGATATAAACCCAATAGATAGCCAAGTCATTTGACCCAGTAAACTACAGATCCATTAACACACAAATTATGTTTAAAAACAAATTCTTGAGATTATCTGAAGACATTCATACAGACTGATAGAAATCAAGAATTCAGAGTTGACATTGAAGGCGATAACCTTTAAAAACAGATTGTGCCGTCCCATTCCTCGGGAATTTCACATGTGGTTAATTAAGGTTTGACTGACAGATTTTGGTGGCAGCACAGCACCTTTTGCTCCATGAGATAACGAACTCTAATTACTTTATAAGCATGAGGTGAGAGATAAGCTCGCAACACCCTGGAGGTCCCCCTGGCCTGGCCTGTGGACCGGGCTCTCCA